AATGCATGCCATCATACTTGCACTATTTTGTTGTTGAGAATGTTAGATTTATATTTTGGGCCTTAAGGTTTTGTGTATGTTGATATATTTTTGTTAATAGGACTAAAATACTAGTATAAGTGTAGAAATAATGATTTGAACATGTTTTGAATGATTTAGGCAAAATGCAAGGATTAACTTCCCCTATGTTTTTGGTAAAATGGGATTGAGAAGTAAATTTTTGTTATACTGTTGTTTTAATGCTTGTGACGTGTTGTACTGGTAGTCTTAGGTCTATTGAACATGGTCCAGGTGTTAGGAAAGGCTTTTGGTATATGTTGAGGGTTTTGAACACCCATTTTGTATTAAGGTTGTGAAAAGTGGTTAAAATGTGTTTGGGTGTCCAATTTTTTAGTATGACTTGTTTTGAAAGTGAAACCCATGCCATTAGCTAATTCATATAAAGAGCTTTATGTAGATACTTAAATTATGTCATTCGGAGTTTGGATAGAGAGTCGGGGCACGTTAAAAGTTTCCCAATTCTGCTGTAAAATGATAGTAGCATCAGTTAGCGCATGCGCTTGAGTTGCGTCTTGTGGCACAGAGAGCAATACACCGCAGCGCAGCATACATGAGCCATAGCGCATTGCCCTGTATCACAGCATATGTTTTGTTTTTCAACTGTTTTTGACTTTCTTCACTCCTCTAAGGTATCTCATGTTTTTGTAATTTATTTTTACTTTGATATGAAAATTTTAATTAATTTTAACTCATGTTTATTTAAAAAATTTGGGATCGTTTACTTTTGAATTAAACTTTGATAATTATTTTTTTAAGTTAAGTCTTTAATTATCAAGAGCTATATTGATTAATTATATTTAATGGACTGAGAATATTACGAGATTTTACAAACGACGCCTGAGAGAGAAGAGATTCAAGATAGCGAAGGAGGGGATGCCGAAAACAAAGTCTGAATGCATATAGGAGAGGGTAATATTGGCAGGTGGAATTCTGACAAATTATTTATTATGCTAATGGTAAAATGAATTCACAAAAGCTCTGTGGGGTAACTTATTTGTAAACGTGGTTCAAAGCTCATTAATCGATTATATGATATTGTGCTGTTTGGGTAATTTCCTTTCAAAACGTCATTTGCTCCCAAAAAATCGATTATCAAGGCAAACCAAACAGGCAGTTAGAGTAACTCTCTGGAATTTGGAGACACCTGTCGATGATCTTGATAAAGGCGGAGAGAGGAAAAATAAAAGTATAAAGGTTGGTTTAGTTACTAGAAAAGATTGAAATGGAATTAATTAAAAAAATAAAAATAAAATAAGATGATAAAAAGAAATAGGTAAGCTCCATTCACAAGAGAAAGGAGTAATTAGTTTATAAGATTAAACATCATGATTTATAACATTTTTGAAGGGTATAATAATTACTACATTTGTAATATATATTAATGAATTTTATCATACTTCAAATATAAGAAAATGGTGATTTAATTTATTTTTGTTCTGATTTTCTTAATCATTTTTATTATATTTCTTTTGAGTAACCAAACAAGACTAAAGTATTTTTATCTACGAACCTCAAAGAAGGAAGTGATTGCTGATTAAATTAAATTATAGCTACTGGATTGATAATCTTACTTGACTGGAGATACAGATAGACGTTGTCTAAAAAATAAAAATAAAATAATTAAAGAGATGGCGCTGTGTGTTTGCACTTTGAATAGGACTTGGAAGCAGATTATATAATGTAGGACTTGTTAATAATATGTACATGTATTGGTTAAACATGCCGCACTAAATAAGTCATTCTACAATGCATAATATAGATTTTTATTATATTAAAATAAAACAGATACATACTCCTCCGGTCTGAACTCTGAAATATTGGTCATGTTCTAGAAGCTAAATCTGGTCCCCAATATTAATTCCAAGCAGGTATGTAAGTTTTATCTCAAACTGAAATTCCCAAAATAACCTTATTCCCTTTAGCTTGTTAACGCACATTTTCTTTTTATTCACTTTGTCTTTAAAGGAAAACAAAAGAAAAATAATATTATATAGGCTGATTGCACTTTTTACTCTTGAAAGGGCTAGTTTTGAAATTTTATTTATAATTATTTTTTATATTTTTATTATATTGATATTGATGAGATTGATAAAAATGACTTATAAATAGGATTGGAGGGAATATTAGTTTACTACCTCTGCCTTTGATATAATTGTGATTTAATTTTTATGAATTAAACCGTTCTTTTTATTTTTTCATGTTTTTTTACCAACATTTTTTTATGTTTTGAAAACTATTAAATCCTCGTGCAAATGGGTTGAGGCTTTTATATATATATATATATAGAGAGAGAGAGAGAGAGAGAGAGAGAGAGAGAGAGAGAAATTTCACCAAATGATTTCCAAAAAAAAAAAACCAAAATAAGACGAGTTACTAATTTGTTTGTAAAAAATTGGATCGAAAGTTTTTATTTGATAAAACATTTTCAATCAATAATGGTTGTATTGTATCAAGGGAAAGAAATTTGGTTTTCCTTATTCAAGAGTAATGATTAAATTTCATAAAAAAATTATGTTAAGAATTTAATTAAGCTCAATAACATTTAAATTTGGTTAGATAGTATTAGATATTTGTTGGGGCAAAAAATGGGAGTTTCGAGACAATCATTTGCATTTTATTTTTTATGGTCAAAACCTATTATCTTGCCCTTTTTTTCCAGATCATCTGTTATCGTCTTTTCTTTCTTTTGTTTTTCTTTTTTTTTTTATATTACGCCAACCATTATCATCTCACTTGGGACTAGGGAGACCGGAAAGCAGGTATTTCCTAGGTACTTTTCTGCCGCGTACGGCCCAATGACAAATTGGGTCTTGGCCCAATATCTCACCTTTTGGGCTTTTCAAAGCATAATAGAGAAACTCAAATGATAAAACAACACGATCACACTTACTTCCCAACACATTAATCCAATGATATATGAAAAAGTCAAACAGCAACTTCATCTCCAAACTACAGGTTTTGGAGAGTACGAGGCTTTAAAATCTTTTTGAGTACAATATTTTTCTTTAATATTTCAAAACTATATATATTGCCTCTACCATTAATAAATATCAACTTTGATTATTAGTTGACAAAAAATTTACAGAAAGTAATTTCAAAAGTTACAGAAAATAACCTATACATTAAAGATAAAACCCAAAAAATTACAAAAAAAAAATGATAGAGTAAATTTTATTGGCCGTTTTCTCTAATTTTTTTTTATAAACTAACAATCAAAATTGACATTTCTTAATGATAAAGGCAGTATTATATTGTTTTGAAATTGTAAAGGAAAAAACTGTATAAAAAATGAGTTTAAAATTTTAGATGCTCTTAAATTATATTTTAGAGGTGAATTTTCCATTTAACCTAGAAAAAATCCAAAAACTTATTGAAGGAAGATTGCAATCATCTACTTAAATAGTTCTAAATATGAAAACGTTAGTTGCAAATAGCAAAAAATAAAAATATTTAACTCCTATAAAAACATTTACAGAATTTTATCTAAATACATAAAAATTGATTTTTTTTTAATGAATTATTGATAAGGAGCATGAAGAGTGACTTTAATGGAAGCTACAATAATAAATTGACTGGCATATGGTAGGGGAAAGGAATGAAGAAAATAGGTTGACAGATGCTCTTTTTTTAAGGGTAGGGGTTGGAGTAGGCAAGAGTTGTTGATTTGGCTATACCAAGTTGCCTCATCCATTTAATTAAATTAAATGTGATGGTTCATGTTTGTCCATCACAACTTGTGCCATTTTGATTGTCTTCACTCTTTACCGCAACTTGTTCTTTCCATTATCATGACCTTTCAAGTCTTGTCCTCTGAAGATCACGAAACTAAGCAAACATGTCAAAATTCAATTGAAAAATACGCTGAGATGATACGGAAAAGTGGGAATCATAGTTTATAGCTTTGCTTTAGACAAATATATATTTTTTACCTTGAATTTTTTCTCAATTATTTTTTACCTCTTGAATTTTAACTCGAAAGATATCCGTCTCTATGATTTTTTTTTTTACTCAAAACAATCATGTCTTTGTAGTTTTTTTAGTTAGAATAATTTAATTCATATGATTCATTAAATTAACGAATTACTAATGGCTAAATTGTTACAAGTTAAAAGATCAAGAATTGAATCACCAATTGGGAGAAGCTTTTAGATTAAAAGTTATATTTTATTTTCACTTCACACACACACACACTGAAAAAGATAGTCATGCGTAGGCGAATCCAGAAGAAAATATTATTTGTAATTAAGTGATAGAGATAATTAGGCAAGCGTGCACACGACGTGGCACGAAAAGAAAGTACAAGTTGCCCAACTTACGTAGGACACAACGAGGGCGTCAACGTAATAAAGAAGGAAACAAATCCCATCTCGTCAGACCCCTCAAGCATCCTCGGGCTTATTCTCAATTCCATTATTTTTTTTAAATTATTAATTTCAATCATTCCCATTTAGAGTCATGTTTCATATATTAATTAACATACAGGGAGAAAAATACAAATTATCTTGCATGATTTTCATTTTTTCCCCTCTCCTCTTTTCGCTTCTTTCAACATCTAAACTTTGTCTGGCATTTCGAATTTTCGTCGATTTAATTGCCAACAATCGAAAAAGGCACGCAATAAACATAGGAGGCAACTTTTGAGTGAGAATGATATTCAAATTTTGAAAGAGAAAATTAACGACAGTTTCATTTTTAACAAAATCTATTAAAAATGACTTAGAAATATTTTGTAAACAAAAATCACTATTACAAACTCAAAATTATATTTATGATTTAAACGCTTTATTTGTAATTTAAACGTCTAAATCTGTAATTATTTGAACCCATATTTATATTCATTGTTTTTAAATTTTTTATTTTAAATTTTTTATTAAAAATTTAATTGTTACTAATTTTTTTTCTTTCAAAAGCCAGTCATTCTCCTTTCTTGAGCCATCGGATGATATACAACACACAAACTTGGAATTCACACGGGGGGTCTCTGCCCACGTGCTGTGGGGCCCTTCATTGATTACAAAAAGAAGCCAGCGGCCATTTTTCTCCCTTGTCCTCTGGCTTGACTTGCCATCATCAACTCATCAACATCGTCCCAACATGTCCTTTTCCCACAACCACCACCATCTGACAATTCCATCTCAAATATCTCACCCTCACCATCATCACCCCACATTCTCATATTATTCATTATACATTCCATATAAAAGTACCATAACATTACCAAATAAAATACTTCTGAGCTCAACCTGCAAAAGCAAGCCACATCTACAAGAGATCATAACATTGTCCATCCATCAATTTTGATTCCAAGTTCCAGCATGATTCTAAAATGGGGGCATACAAAAGACCGAGTCAAGTCAACCCTCCCTCTCTAAGACTAGACATTTCGGTCGCCCCCCAACACGGCTAATAATAACTCTCTTCATATATATATCTAAATATATGTAGTCCCGTATTGTTGTCTCAGATAGATTAATCACAGTTCAGCTTTGTGAAGAATAGAGGTGGATTAGAGGACTGATTAGCACTGTTGCATGGCCGACAAGGTGGTGACTATGCAGATACACTGGACAAGTCACTGGTGGAGGAGACATCATGCCCAGATGCCACCTTTTGCTTCCGACCATGTCTACGTCTACTGCTACCTCTTCCTCGCACACCTCCTCCCTCCTTTATGTCTTGTAGCCGATCCACCTGTCTTCACAACGCCAACCAGTAAAGATACTGCACAAGTACTATTATGTGCGCGTGCGTATACACTAATATACAGACACTACATGGTTGATTTACATGTGAAATGGTGACATACCTCAAAGGCTCAAACACAAATACTCCAATTGTGTTCTGTATCCTCACTGGTAATGTTAGTTTACCAGAAACAGACCTTGGGGACAAGTTCAACATGACAACATACAACTCATTTAGACTCTGCAATAAGTAACATTCAAAAACCACTAATTTATCAAGCCAAGGCTGCTGCTAAATGCTGCAGCCAAATGTTGGGTATGGTTTAAATTCATACCAACTCACTCAATTAACCTGTTCTCTATGCATATCCAATGGAGAGGTTTTTGACCTCATCTCCTAATCATGCAGTGTGAAAGAGAACAAATTTAGAAAGCCATGTATACTAACCCCTAAACAGAAGTCCTGGAGGGTGGCCTCAAAGTCAGAGGAATCCACATTCTTCCCAACGTTCATCTCCGAGGAATTGCGTTTGTTAGAACCGGAACTTTCGGAGTAAGTCATGTACGTAGTTGTCGTGGACGAAGTAGAACTAGAAGCAGCAGTGTGGGAGTCACTTCCAGAACATCCAATGTCACCTTGAAACATGTCTTCAAACAGCTGTTGCAACTCCTCAAAGCTCTCTTCCCCATTTTCCTGCCCATTCACGCACAAAACCAATGTCACCAAAAACGTTAATTCACAAACGAACTCTGTATTCCAAGATTTACACACTTCTGCACATTGACATTGATTAAGCACTGGATATTACATAGCCACGGAAGACAGATAAATATTAGTTGCAAGAACCAACCACAACCACAAACAGAAACAAACAACGTAATTATCGTCAACACTGAACTCACGGCAAATACCTAACTTGTCCTGCTGTACCTAACGTCCCAACTTAAGCACTCTCGTTTGTCAGCAGCCAAACGGGTCATCAATATCGATCTTTATAATTATGATCACAATAATACAACGTTTGATTCTCACGAGTGAAGCGCATGGAATCATACCTAATACGTACGGACTGTGAAGACTGGGTTGTTTGTGACTATCTATGTTGAACATGCATATGAGAAATTTCAAAACCCAGATGGACAATTCGGCAAATGGGGTCAAGTTGTGGTGGGGCGCCAACATTTCCATGCCCACCTGTCAACGAAAGCTCAGGTTGCTCCCATGTGGGCCCCCATACTATTATCAGCCATTGCATCTAAAACCTGGGGGCAAAAATCGCAGCACCGTGGGACCCGCCATTTCCATAGGCCCGCGAATTCTGGCTCTGAATTTCCAGCTACAAGCCCCAGAAGCTACTATTCTGCTCCTTATTATGAAAATTGAAAAGGAAGAGGGGCGGTGTATCAGTTTGGTTGATCATGATAATTGTGTCTTTCCACTTTTACCCCGAATTTATTATTCCCTTAAAAAATACTCCTCCTAGAATTTACACCTTGATTACAGGACTAATAACTGGAGTGTCAATGAAAAAAATCTATAACCTCTCACTCCAACTCTTCCATCCAAACAATATAACTTTTTTTTATAAATGTCCTTTGAAAACAACCCTGAGATACAATTGGGTATTAAAAGCATACATGTCTCCTCAGGCTTCCAATTTTGTTTGTCAAAGTCTCGAGGTAAGAGGATTTTAGGCCTAGAAAGAACAGACCGACCCGTGACCCAGCAGGGGCCCATTTCATCGTGGAGAGATCATAAGAAGGAATCTTCCAAGAAACGAAAAAACAGCAGCAGCAAAGCATACAACATAGGATTTGACAAAAGTTAACCTCATGTTTATGCGTAGCTTTATTCATTAAACAAAGCAGGTAGGACGAGTTTTCCAACCAACGTTTCACCCATTCATTGAAATTAAATATTAAATATTGACTTGAACTCAAAATCACTCACATTTGGTTTTGTTTGGCTCATCATTGCTGCCATTTCGTTCAAGAATTCTCCCATCCCCTGCAAAAATTAGGAAATAATTTTTTTCTTTTTAAAAAAAAAAGGATGCTAGGCGATAAAAACACTACTACAAAAGCACCCATATGAAGAAACTAAGCAACCCAGAAAGACTGAGAATCAATCAAGCTAATTTTTATATTAAAGGAAACAAAATAGAATCCCGTATTGATCCCAGAATTGAGAAAAGTCTTCACTTTACAAAAAAACAGAAAATAAAAAAAAAACCCCGGAAACAGGACAAGAATGACCAATAAAACCAGGGGGGGAAAATACATATCTTCTATTTTAAGTTAAAAGATAAAAAGGACCATTTTTTCCTCGAAAGAAAAAGAGACCATAAGGATCGGCCCAAGTGACTTACAATGTCGTCGTCATCGCTGTCATAGACTCCTATGTCATACAAGAACCTCTTATTGGCATCAGATAAAACTGTGGACGCAGAAAAGGGGGAAAAACAGAGTAAGAAGAATGAAGTAGCATCTCGTGATTTAATTGCTTCAGTACGAAGGATCCGATGAATCCGAGAATCTATCGTCAATCAATAACATATCAGGGAAGAATAAAAAATCAGAGAGAAGGAAGAGTTACCAGAATAGGCTTGCTGAATTGCCTGGAATTTCTTCTTAGCCTCTTCCACGAACTTTGAATTCCCCGACGCTGAACAACGATCTGGGTGCCATTTCTATCCCATCAAACAAAACCATTTTACAACGTTATAACAAACGCACATAATTCCTGGGACACATCTTATAATCCCTTACCCATCACAGAGGAAAATGGACAGAGAGTCCACATGGGATTTCTCAAAGTTGGGGAAAAATAAAAAAGTACCATCCTCGAAGCGAGTTCTTGGAATCTTACAAGACCCATATGCCAACATGAATGGATTTTTTTAAAACAAACAAGTTTAGTAAGAAGAAAAAGGAAAGATGAACAGAGAGAGGCATTCAATTCTAACCATTGCGAGTTTCTTATAAGCATTCCTGAGCTCTAATTCTGTGCACTCCTTATCCAATCCCATAACTGCATAGAAGTCATTGCCTTTCTCTTCTCCATTCGCCATTGTTGTTCTCAACGATAAGATAAAAATCCAAACTTTCTCAAAGAGAAGCTACAGAAAAAGCACCACCAGCCAGACCCCAATGAAAACCAGAAGCACAAATCAGACTTAAGTTTTTCTCTCCTCTTTCGTGTCGACGAATTGACTCAGCCAAAACCAACTAAACGCAAACACCGTACAACCAGAAAAACTACATCAAAACGCAGGCAAGCTAGCACACAAAATAAGAATAATACTAGAATTTATATATTATTATGGTACTTGTTTGAGAATTGGGACACGGAACCTTAGCATTTTAGGTTCCGTGGAGTGAAAGGTGAAGAGTAAGGGAAAAGAGGAAGGAGGAGGCTGTCTCCGGAGAGATCACAAACATACCCTCCCCAACCTCGCTATGGCACAAGAACACTCCAGAAACGGAGCAGTTTATATAGTTTTGATGTACTTAATTAGTATAAAGTTTAATGGTGGTTAATTTAACGGTGAGATGGGGATTGAGGACGGTGAGGATACACGGACGAGATTGCACGGTGGGTTTAGATATTTTTGGTGAATTGCGTTTGTGTGTCCAGAAGGTTCTGTTTTTCACTGTGATGAAGTCCTTCTTCAGGGGCAACGGGGAAGCGGGGCCCACCGCAACATGGGGTCTTATTATTTATAACAGCTTTAAGAATTGATTGATCATATCATATTGTGTTGCGAAAATTCTGAGAAAGGGCCAAATAAATTCAAAAATCATACAATTCAAATTTTTGTAAATACATTTTAAAACGTGGTTCTTCTTTTCAAATATTTTAAAAAATTATATACTTTGTGTTTGTTTAAATTCTATTTAATCGACTTAAACTAAAGTTTGTAGGTTTTGTTAAGAATAGTGGGTAAATGAACTTTTTTCTTCCATTATAATTAGACCAAAAGCTAAATTTTAAAATTTTTGCATTAGTTACGTTGAAATTTAATTCTTAGCTTCATTTAATACATTTTAAATTCAATAAATTGGTGCTGGTAAAAAAAATTAATGAATAACTTATTTATCCTTTTGCATTTTCTTTTGAAATTTAATATTTTTATTACTTATAAATTTAACTTATTATTCATAATTTATATATATATATATAGACACACGCGACTCTTTTTTTCCTTAGTTTTTTTTATCAGTCTCTATCTTTTTAGTTATTATATATTTAAACTTTTTTTTTAATTATATCATCTAAATATTTTTTAATTTGTCAAATTAATTTTTTAAAAAAGAATATTTAAATATAAATTATATTGTAACAACTGACTTTTAATTTAATTTTAATTTGTAAACTGTAATTTATATAAAATATAATTCTACATCATTCCAAGCAAGCTCGTCTGGTACTTCTGCGTAATTTTCTGGGTTGTATTGTGACAGCCATATGATCATAGAAAAGGATATCGGACCCAGTTCATTGGAAAATAGGTCCTGCTTGATGGCCCTTTTTTTTTTTTGGGAGAATCTCATTTTGGTATTGGGGATGTAATATATTAACAAATCAGATTCAAATAAATCTGAAATTATAATGCAGTACCAAAATACTAAATTGAAATTAATTTTTATAAAAAATCATCAAAATGTCCTTCATTTATTTAAAAGAAAAAGAAAAAAACTACTAGCTATCTAGTTAGAATACCATTGTTGGACATCGAAGCCTCATTGGCGACGGCTATTATTAGACCTTCATCATTGGAACTTTGGCCAACAATGGTTGGAGAATTAAATTCTCTAAAGGTGGCCAACGGGATGTATGAACCCATAACTACTTGACTTACTAGAAGACTAATGTCGATCAAGTCATTGAATCTTTTTAATCATATAATGAATAAAAATCTATATAATGAACTTTATTTTCAAACTTCTTAATCATTACATTATTTGTTACAAACTTGTTAATTTCTAAACAAGACCTATTATCTACTTAACTTTACATATTAATTTGTGACTTCCTAAACTCAACTATATTGTTAATTTTTCAACTTTATTTATTAATTTTATAACGGCACTTGTTAATATCATTAATCTGAAAAATAACTAAATTACTTGTTAAGTACATGACTTTACTTTTAATTCCTCAACATCACTTGTTAATTAGTTTTCTTATTAAATCTGTGACTCCCTAAATTGAATTACATTATTTATTAATTGTGTACCTTTAGTTGTTGATTTCTAAACAAACGTGTTAACTATTTAACTTTATTTATTAATTCATGACTTCCTAACAGAATTTGTTAACTACTTAACTTTACTTGGTAAATATGTTACTTCTTCAACTATATTACAATGCTTGTCAATCGTGCTAGTTCCTCAATATGACTTGTTCGTTACTTAACTTTACTTATTTTAACAAGTTCATTTCTTGTCGTAATAATCAATAAATTTGAAAACAATGATTATTATATATATATATATATATATATCAACTTTTTGGAAGCAACTTGCTCCGATGAAAGTCGGCTGTTGGGTCCCTATGGCCATCAATTCAGTCCTAGTGAAAGTCAGTCATCTTGTGGTCATCATCGGTCTGATCTTGATAGAAGCTGGTCCTTTAATCCTTGTCATCACTATTAGTTCAATTTTGGTAAAAGTCGGCCCACCAGTCCCCATTATCGCCATTGGTCAAGTTTTGGTAGAAGTTGACAGTCTAGCTTAGTGGTTGTTGTCAGTCTAGTCCCGATATAAGTAGGTCATCTGGTTTGATGGTTGCTATTGGTCCTGTTCCTACTGAAATTGGCCATCCGATGCCCTTCTTTGTCATCAGTCAGGTCTTGGTGAAAGTTGGGCTTCCGATACCATTTGTCGTTGTTAGTTTGATCCCAATAAAAGTTGGCTATCCCATCCTGATTGTCATCGTCAGTCAAATCTCGATAAAAGTCGGCCATTCTATCCCAATCATTGCCATATTTCTAGTCTCGATGGAAGTCTTCCATCTCGTCTTGATCATCACCGTAGGTCTGGTCCCGGTAAAAGGCGGTCGTCCAGTCTCGATTAACAGTGACAACTTGTTTTCATCAACTTAAGCTATCTGGTCCAATTATCATTGGCAAGTCGATCAAAGCCTTTATGAATTGAGGTCAAATCACAAAAGAGATTGAATTAGAATTTGAAATAATAAGGGTTTAGAAAGAATTTTAAATTACAAAGAGATTAAGGCAGAACTTGAATTTGAATTTGAGTTAAATTCAAATTCAGATTCAAATCCATACATTTTTAATTATCCAAACAATAAATTTAGCTTAAATCTAAATCTATATACATCTAAACATAGCACAGGGAATTTAATTTATAATTCTTTAGGCTGGCAATAGTCTAACAATTGGTTAGAGCTCCAATGATGGAGGTTCAGTGATTGCTATCATTGGCGGTGGGTGGCTGGTGGTTTTTTCTTCTTCTTTTTAAATAAATAAAGGAAATTTAATCATTTCTTATAAAAATTATTTTCAATTTAGTGTCTCAATATTGCAGTGTAATTTTAAATTTATTTGGGCCTAATTTGTTTGCATGCACATCTTTAGTTCTTAAATGAAATTTTCCCTCTTTTTTTCCCCAAACGAAGATGTTTCTATTATAATATTTTCTAAAGGAAGCTATTTTATAAAATTTTGTTTCATGGAAGAATTTTATCCAAAGATAGAAATGTGACATAATAATAAATGAAATTTATTAAAATTTAAAATTTTAATTCACTCTACTGAGACTAAAATAAAATTAATTTAAATGACAAAAATATCAAAAGAGTCCTTTTTTTTAACCAACAAAAAATAGTCTCTATTTAAACATAAAAATATAACAGTCAAATTTAAATGTAATATTAGGAAATTAACCATTAAAATTGAGAAATTAACAACTCAAACTACTTTCTAAATTCAGATAAGCTGATTGAACAAATCTCATTTTCTCAACGGTTAACAAGTCAATTAAAGTAATTTACCAATTATGTTTGAATATTAATAAGTAAAATTGTGAAATTAATAATTGATGTTACTTTATAAATTCAGATAAATTAATTGAACAAATTAAGAATTGTCAGGTCAAATAATTTATAAGTGATGTTGAAAAATTAACTTATAAAGTTGGGAAATTAAAACCTGACATTGCTTCATAAGTTAAAATAATTAAAATGATTGAACAAGTGACTTGTGAAGCAACTTTTGTTGATAATTTTTCAATTTTAATTATTAATTTTTTAACATTATATTAAATCTTACCGCTATTTTTTAAATGTTTAAATACAGGCTAATTTTTTATTATTTAAATTAATTTTATTTCAATCTTGCTAGATTGAATTGAAATTTCAAATTTTAATTGATCTTATTTATTATCACATGATAACATTCCTAATCATCTGACGAAATTCTCCCTTGTTTTATTATCATCATCGTTAATTGAATGCAACATAAAGGCCCCACTTATCAGCAATAAATAAGTACCATTGAAGAAGGTGAAAAATGAAATAAAGGAAAAAAAAAAAACGCATTGAAGCATTTTGTCTGGTCTTTCACGTTCCTTTTGTTTCTTGCAGGTTTGTGGCACTATGTGGATATGTAATCGTTATATTATTGTCTGGATGTGTTATTATTGGAATTGTTATTAATGGAATTTTAGTTAGACCCAGAAAGAAAATGCCTTAAATGTTATAATTAATTACTTCGATTTCAAGTTGCACTGCATATATATTTGAGTTTAAGCTATCAGATTTTCTTAGAATCAATGGGTGCCTTAGACGGATCTAAACTTGCCCCCCCCATAGATTATTGGGTTTTTGGAGGAATTTTTATTTTTTCTTTACGAAATAGTTTAAAATATATTTCGGCCCCCATTTTTATTTTATTTTGAGTTTAGCCCCCCAACCATAAAACTCTGCATCCGTCCCTGGCCTTAGAGCGATAATCACAATATAATTATCAAATACAGCACTCAATTTCCTAATATATATACTGATCGAAATTGCGTAGGCACGTCGGAAAGTATATGGATTGTTTCAAAGTGGCACGTGGTGCAGTAGGATCAAAGGAAGATCATCATGCCGTTATATATATCATCATCCCGTTGTATGATATATATATATATATATATATATTATATCATACAGATCACAAATTAGGGAACTGTTTTCTTTTTAATTCCACAGCCCATTATCTTAAAAAATCTGGGGTATTATCACCATTTTCTTAGATTTAATCCGCACTTTTGCTAGTTGAAATTATTATTATTAATGATGATCTCAAGGGTACCTCGAACTTGAGGATGCCTTTGTATTTCTAACATGATATAACACTAGTGTATGTTTTACAACTTAATTAAACCCAAGGCTCTAGAATAATGTGATTCAGCTCTCTCAATTAGTGAAATCAAGCACGCTAAGTGGCATATTTATGGGGTTTTTATTG